AACAGTGAAGGAGGTCCATCACCAACATCTACAGGTAAACATGTATGTTTTCTATCCATATCCTGGTGTTTATGTTGTGTCTTGTCAGGATTTTATCTATCATATTATCTGACATCTGAAGGAAGAAAAGAGCAATGAAAACATTCACTGGTGCACGGAGGCCTAGGATAAAGTATTAAAACCCTCTTGGCTTAGCAGGATTAGTCTCTGTTGTCTGTCTGATAATACCTTTGTGAGCACCAATCAAACAACTGCTGTTGTAAAATTAACTGGCTCCACTAAACTCAGTTGATTAAATGCCAAGAGCATTATATATTAACTTTAAACATTATAATTATAGTAAAAAGAAACAAATTTAGATCACTAAATCCAGCATTGTAGACGTAACTTTGTATAATTTAATCAATGCTTTTAAATTAAACTTAACAGATGATAACAGATTCTTAAATATGCTAGTATAATTCATTTTACTGAGTTGCAATAACAGTATTGGACTGTTAAAATGTAATATACTTATTCTTTAGTAATATGGTGTAGTTTAGTGAAAAAAAATATATATTTTTTTGATATGTTTGATATCAATTAAACAAATAAAACATTTTTGGATAATTGATCTTTATCAAAATGGTAGGCTTAATAACAGCCCTGAGGATAAGGATCAGTAACTACTTCTAAAATTAAAACTGTATTTCAATAGGAACCAAGAGGCAAGTTGATCTAACATTATTCCATCTCCCTCATGGTCCACAAAGGATTAAATATATATATATATATTGCTTCCTTATGTAGGAAGCAACTGTGGACTATATTATTTATTTTAAAAGATCATAAATATTTGTTGAAAATGTTTTGATTAAAAAATGTTTTGTTCTTTTGCAACACCAGATGTTTTTTTGTTTTTGTTTTTTTTTTTTTTCAAAATTAGCATCTTGAAGGACAACTGTTTACTATGGCACTCTGTACTGCATTACTGGATTCCTGTACTAAACTGAAACATTTTGTAACACACTTTGAAACACTTTACTAACCTGAAACACTTCAGGGAAANGCACTCTGTACTGCATTACTGGATTCCTGTACTAAACTGAAACATTTTGTAACACACTTTGAAACACTTTACTAACCTGAAACACTTCAGGGAAATTCTTCTAACTTGTGCAATGCTTCTAAAGTTGAATATTTCCTGTTCAAGATTCTGTCGGAAAAAATATTTATACATTTTTGGAATCTGCAAGTAGCGTATTGATTATGTAGTTCAGAGTCACCATTAAAATTTAAAGGACAAACAACAGTTTACAAGAGCTAAATAAAAATTATACATATATTAAACTTGATAGTGTATTGCTTTGTTAATGACTCTTTGATAAAAAAAATACATGGTTTTAAATAATAAATAATAATATAATATTACTATATAATAATATCATTATAAATAATATCTTATATAGCTATAATGGTGATACATTCAATTAAATCCCAACTATCCATCCATTAATCCATCTTCTCCCATTTAATCAACCAGAGTGGCAGTCTGGGTGGTGCCTATCTCCACCAATCTATAGAGATTTGCCTATAGACACCTCAGACAGGTTGCCAGTCTGTTGCAGGGCATCAATTCAAAAAACTTTATTTATACAAAGCAAATTCATGACACATGTCATTTCAAGGCACATTACAGAGACAATGTAATCAGATTATATAGTCATATTGAAAAAAAAAAAAAGAAAAAAAAATCCATCTGTATTTTAAACAAGCTGATTGCATCGAGTCATTGATTCTGTAGAACTTGCTCCTCCTGGATGAGCATGTGGCGACAGTAGATATTTGCTTGCATTTTGTTGTCGAGAATACAGCAATCCCTCACACAGGGATTGGGCATGGGGCGACAGTGGACAGGAAAAACACACTTTTAAGAGAAAGACAGCAGAACCACGCTGAGTGAGCTGCCTTCTGACGACTAACTACGTCTGGAGGTTCAAGGAGACAGAAGCAGACATAAGAAAAATATATAGAAGCACCATAAATACTTTTATGTTTGAAAAGGTAGCAGTAAACTAGCTCAGGTGGCTCTGTCTAGGGAAGAAACAATTAAACAGAAAAACTGTGAGACAGTTTTCATGTCAAAGGAATACAAGGGAGCACATACAGTTAGTCACAGTAAAAACTGAACCACTACCAAGGTTTAGGAGTAGGCGAGAAAAAGCACTAACTACTGAAAAAAAAAACAGGCCCAACTATGTCCTCTATAATCAAGATGTTATAATCAAGCCCACATGATATTTCTTTCTAGGATGGTATCACAGCTAAATTTAGGGGTTGAACTAACAAATACTGCAAAATGGGAGACTAGAGGAAGAATGAAGCAGTGGTCCCTTTGTCCTCCAGCAGGATAAGCCTAGAACACATCATAATTCATTTCAAGAACTTTCTGTTTAGCATTACCACTGATTCCATTTATATGTAGAAGCATTTTGTGTCGTTTTAAATAACTAGTGAACATTACAAAACAAAAACATAAGCTTTAATATGTGATCTCCACTGGAAAAGAAAAAAATTACAGTGTTAGGTGTTCATTTAGACCAGTACATTGAAAGGAGCATTCCCCACACTCTCAGTGGCTTACATTGTAAATGAAGGAATTACAAAAACAAAGTCATTCTATGCAAAATCAGACTTTCTGGTGCCAGAGCTACAAGCAACAGCAATGAATGGAAACTGTGTATTAGACATAGTGGTGCCAGCAGTTCTGGACTGTCTCCAGTTAGGAGTTATCAGATGCTTTTGACCTTTTATTTATTTTCTCTTCCTGTCACAAGTACAGTAGTTATCTATAAATGCAAAAACTTTCTTTGGAAAGAACTGAGATGTTTTCTCTTTTAACATTTACATTGTCTGTTTTTTCCATGAGACAAATAAATGTTGGCTTGAGAATGAAGAAAAAATTACTCACCTAAATGTCCCACTGAGTTTTTACAGAGTTTTAAGAAAGCCTGTCTCTTTTGTTGTTTTAGACAATTGGCCTCCTAATCAGGGTAAAGTTTCAACGGCAACAATAAAAAGAAATCTTTCCATATCTGATGTATTCCTCTACAGCAAATTGAATTAAATATCAGAAATGAAATAATATTAGACCTTCCACTGACTTAACTTACTGCTTCCACCCTTCAATGCCTTTAGGCACTTAAAATTTATGAAAATTTTTTAAATGACGTCAAACTCAACTCAAACTTTATTTATAAAGCCCATTTAAAACAACTGGGGTTGCCCAAAGTGCTGTACAGATATCACAGTTGCAGGAAAAAGGGTAAAAACATAAAAGCTAAAATACATAAACACAATGCAATAAAATAGAATGAAAATTAAATAAAACACAATAAGTAAATATTTAAGTAAAAATGTAAAAAAAAAAATTGCCAGATGTCCACTTAGACTTGATTAAAAGCCAGGGAAAAGAAGTGTGTTTTTAGGGAGGATTTAAAAACCTCAAAAGATCCTGCAGATCGAATGTGCCAGGGCCGATTGTTCCAGAGCCTCGGTGCCTCTGTCACAAAGGCAGCGTCACCTTTGGTTTTAGTCTGGTTTTAGACGTTGTCAGTAGCAGTTGATTGGAGGATATCAGTGTTCTGGCAGGGCCATGGATTTAGAGGAGCCCAGCCAGATACTGGGGGGCTAGGCCTTTAAAAACAAACAATAAAATAGATTCTAAAAACAACTGGGAGCCAGTGCAGCGAAGCTAGGATGGGTGATATGTGGTCACGTTTACATGTGCCAGTAAGGATGCATTTTGTACCAGCTGCAGGCGGTCCAATCTCATATAAATAAAAGCATGCATTACAGTCTCCAGATCTCTGCGTGGCAGGTACCGTTTGACTTTTGATAAAATTCTTCACTGGTAAAAGCTGTTTTTTTACGACCAAGCTAACCCTGGCCATCGAATTCCAACCTGTCATCAAGTGCTACACCAAGGTATTTTACTGACACTGAACATCAAAAATCAAAAGAAGGGGGTTTAAAGAATAAGTGAGTGGCTCTTAAAAGAGCCTTTGTTTTATGATGAGGAAGAGTAGCAGAGGGTTGACAGGTGAGAGGTGGGCACCTCAGGCTACGTTGTATTGCCAGGGCATTTCACCAACGGCGGAGGAGAAGTAACTGTTGAAGGCCTCCCGTACAGCTACAGCCTCTTGGGTGGCGTTTTTGGCGCCCGCTCTCCTTGCTTGTTGAAGTGCAGGGAAGTCACGTTCTTCCAGTGGGACAGGATTTTCAGCTGTGGAGTTCCTCCTCTGGAAGTTGTGAAGGGCCACTGTAGCTTTCACAACAGCATCCACATTTTCAGGGCTCACTCCAATCACCCGGTGGTAGATTCTCCACTGTGCAGCAAGAATCCCAAAGGCATTCTCAACTACTCGTCTCGCTCTTGATAGGCGGTAGTTGAAGATCCTCTTTGGTTGGGAGAGGTTTCTTCCAGGATATGGCCTCAGCACATTCCTCCTTGTGATAAAATAAGAAAAAAAAAAACACATTTAACCAGAGATNTAGACTGTATGCACCTCATTTCATTTTGGTGTTTACACTATGTGCAAACAAAATGACAATAAAGTCTAAGTCTGATGAGGTTTTTAAAGCAGATCGATCTCACTAAGGATCTCAGAAATGGCATCATTGCGGTCCCCATCGTGCTGACATGCTGGAAGAAAGTGACGCATCGTAAAGTCTTGTCTCACGCGTTGTGATTGGTCCAGCCAAATTTATCCAGAGTCAACGGTAGTTTACTAGACTGAATTACACCCTTTTATTCAGTCTGGCTGGCCTGGCTACCTTCATGATTGAATGGACCAGGTCTAGACTGTGAGCCTAGCTTAAATAATGTATATTTAGCTTAAAGGCATTCAGCACAATGGGGAACATACAACTGGAGGTAATTTAAAAAATACTTTGTCAGATTAATTTTTTTTTTATAGACAGAAATTTTGACAATTTCCTTAAACTACCTTTTTAAACCCTGCAGACACCCTGATTTTATGTGTTTGTTTCTTGTGAACATTCAGTCTGCCAAGTTGAATAAAGCTTTTACCACATATTTCACATGAATAAGGTTTCTCACCTGTGTGAGTTCTCTGGTGTACTTTCAATTCATTGCGTGTAAAGAAACTTCTCCCACATTGTTGACAAGAAAACGGTCTCTCACCTGAATGTTTTAGTTTGTGAAGATTGAGATAACAAATTTGAGAGAAATTTCTTCCGCAGATTTGACACATAAAAGGTCTCTCACCAGTGTGATTTCTCTGATGTATCTTCAGTTCATTACGTCTAGCAAACCTTTTCCCACAGATTTCACAAATAAAAGTTTTCTCACCTGTGTGGATTCTGTTGTGAACATTTAAAGAACTTCTCGAAGATAATCGCTTCCCACAAGTTTCACAGCAAAATGGTTTTTCACCTGTGTGAGTTCTGTAATGTATTTTCAAGGCATATTTAGTCTTACTGAATTTCCCACAGATGTGACATTTATAAGACTTTTTCTCTGTGTCAGATTCAGACTGACTCTCGGACACAGTGTATCTGCTTTCCTTCTGATCTTTAGTCTTAACTAAAGGAGACATATTAAATGAAAGCTTCTCAGTTCCTTGTTCCTTTTCTCTCAAATACACTTCCTTTCGAGCAGAACTCTCCATTGAAAAAGCTGACTGCACTGAAGGATCTGGTTCCTCATTTTCCCTGTCCATCATAAGAGATTTTGGTTCCTCATGTTCTTTCATCAGTGGTGGATCTGGTTCCCTTTGTTCCTCATAACCCCATGATGCCTCAAGCTCTACAATTTCTTCTGCAATCTGAGAAGATTCTTGTGTCTCTTCTTCCTCTTTTATCGAAAGAGGTTCTGGATCCTTCCCCTCCACTTTAACCCATAGAGGACCTTGTTCCACCTGTTCTTCTTTAGTCCATACAGGTTCTAGTTGCTCCTGGTCATGACTGGATCTCCTCCTGTGGTTACAGAAACCATCAATGGCAGCGGCTTCCTCCTTATTGGAGACATTTGGCTTCTGGAAGTCTGTGGGGACAAAGACAGAGATCATACGTACAACTGAGTGTCTCCAGCTTCAGCATGGTTGTTCCTGAACAGTAAGCGCATCAATGTCCAATAGGGATGGGACGATTTATGAAAACCGTCAGAATCGTTCGGTTCGACTGTCTCGGTTCGGTTCGCGTGTGTTTCGTTCGGTTCATGCGCTGCTCCTTTTTCTCATAGAGGAAGCGATTACACTCCAGAACAGAAGGTGGCGGTACTGCGACCAAAGCCAACCGCCAGTAGTAAACTAGAAGAAGAAGAAGCGAAGCTGCTTAGCCGGCTGTAGCAAGGGAAAAAAATCAG